CCAACAGAATCATCCCTGTCGTTGTGGGCGGTCCCCAGGATACTTTCGTACCCAATATGATCCGAGCAGCAGCTGGCGACGTGATTCAGTTCCAGTTCAGCTCTGGAAACCACACGGTTACTCAAAGTGCAGAGGACTCGCCCTGCCAGCCCCTCCAGGCTACGCAGTCTGGTGTAATCCACAGCGGGCACATTCCCTTCGAAGCCGGGCAGCAGACAGTCGGGACTTTCAATGTTCCTCTTACCAACACTGAGCCTATCTACTTGTACTGTGCAACCGGGCCTCATTGCCAGATTGGTCAGGTGATGGCCATCAACCCGTAAGAGCAAGCCCCATTGTATCTTTTGAAATCTGCTAACTCTATATTAGACCTAGCGAGGAGAACTTGGTCCAGTTCAATAAGAAGGCAGCCGGTGCGCTGGCGAACGTTGATGCTGGTGATCCTACGGGCGGAACAGTGGGAGAGATCCCTCTGGCAGATGCTGCGTTTACTCCAGCTGCTGAGGAAGAGGCTCCCCCTCCTCCTCCCCCTGCTGATACTCCTGCAGCTGGTGCTCCTCCGGCTGCGAGCCCGCCTCCTGCTGTTGTTCCTCCCGCTCCTCCTGTTGAGAGTCCTCCTCCTGCACCTCCCGCTGAGACTCCCGCTGCACTTCCTCTTCCTCCTTCCGGCGTTGCTCCTCCTCCTTCAGCTGGAACGCCTCCTCCACCTCCGTCTGCCGCTACACCGTCCGTACCGCCTTCCGGAACTCCTTCCCCGGCTCCTCCCGCCCCTCCGGCTGGTTCTGCTCCCCCGATGCCGCCAGCCGAGATGCCCGCCAGTGTGCCTGAGGCAGCATCCCTGGAGGACGAGTACTAAGGTTTTCGGTTCCGCAGGGTTGAGCCCTGGAACAATGTGTGGTTGGAGAGACTGTTTAGACTTAGAGTAGATATGCAAACAAAGTAATGTTGGCTCATACTGTTCAAATTCTCGTGATCCTATAGGAGTGATCCCTGGAATTGAGTTCACAAGATAGTTCATCAGTGCCTCTTCTAAACCTTTCGAAATGTGCGAAAGCTATCTAAACTGAGCATATTAGTCTCGGGTCAATAGCTTACAGTAGTAAAAATACAACTCTAATATTTTGGGCACTCAAGTTCCATGTACCCACAGAACTTCCAGTTGTGTTATCAGATTATCTATCTCTTACAAAAGTACCCGTCAAACTAAATTCTGAACTAAGATCTCACCTCGGCTACTTTGTGCCGTGACTCATCCTCATAACACCAGGTTATTCGCGCGAATACGAATACTATAAAGAGCGGATGCTATAAAGAATGGTCTGAAGTGTCAACTAATAGGATTTTATATTCTTCCTCAAGCTCAACCCGCAACCTCTCAATATCCCCCCAATTCGCCTGCCGGCCATGGAAATAGCCCAGCACTTCATCCAAGCAGAGAACCTAACCGATGTTTCCACCGCCGGACAAGGTTTAGAATGCCTTGTCTACAAAGCCACCTCCCCAGATCACGGACAAGTCGTCCTCAGAGTCCCAAGAGTCAAAGTCTACCACAACGCCAACGACCCTAGCGTTGCAGCAAGTGCCCTGATCCAGCAGGAAATGCTCATGTACAGCCTTCTCCAAAATGAACCGGTCGCTGTGCCTAAGCCGTATAAGTACCTCGAGGAGAATGGTTATCCGGCTATGCTGTGCGAGTACGTGGATGACGATGGAACAGAAATCACGTTTGAGGAGATGGGACGTGTGGCGGCGTTGATTCATTCCACGTCCTTGTCTGATGCAGATATCAAGACAGTTACAATGGAGACTACTGATGTTTTCTCGACTATTGAGAAAAGAATGAAGAGGCGCTTCTCGGTGCTTTCCAGAACAGTCCCCGAGGCTTCTACCTGGCTAGCAAACTGGGATAAAGTGCACACCACCCTCCAAGACCTCAGACGCTTCCGCCCAAGTCTTTTGCACATGGACTTCCGCGACGTCAACCTCCGCCACAACAAAGGACGTATAAGCGCCGTCATCGACTGGACCAACGCTCTCGTCGGACCAGCAGCGATCGACATCTTCCGCACGATGGAGTTCAGCGATGTGGGAGAAGGCTTCGTGGGGGGCTACAACGAGATCTCGCTATTCCCTGAGGTCACTGCGAGAGAAGAGTGTTTGCTTAGACTTGATGCTGCGCTTGTGCTGGCGTTGGTGTTCACAGCTGAAGCGCCAGATGCTGTGAGAGGAGAGATGGCTGTGGCGCGTGTGAAGGAGCTGTCGGATAATTTTGCAGCTTCTTAGGGGCTGATGAAGGACTGATCGAGTATTGCATGTGACGGAGTTGAATGGGTATGGGAGCTGGCCTTCAACGGAGTAAATGGCGGGTGTATTGGGAGCATGGAACGGCGTTATTCAACTTACGCAGGTGGCATAAAATAGAGGCATTTTGTTAAATACAACAAAAAGATAATCAGAGGCTTGTAGATAATGGACAACCATTTCTGGCAAGATATTTATGGTCTCAGTGATAAAGTACATACCTTCAACTGCCAACAACGACATCTCAATGCTTCACCGAGCTGCTTCGTGCATGTCTCAAGCCATCTCACAAGTTTAATGTGAACATTATTAGTATTTTATTTTATTCTATTATATTCCATCATCTCTATGCACGCTCAAACTACCGCCCACCCCAATTCACAAGCTGCGAATGGCACTTATCCCACCCCTCAAAGTAGGGCTTCCTCATCTCATCGCCCGCCTCGCCAACCCTCGCAAGGTACTCAAGCACCATATTCCCCCAGAGCCAGCTCGCGGGCCCTCGCCCGGGGTGCGTCTTGTCCTTGTACAGCATCGACAGCGACGTGATCAGACGCCCCCACTCAAACACCTCGTGGCCCGCCTTCTCCGCCGTCGCACGCGCCAGCCGGTCCAGGTCGTAGATGGAGGCGTCCGCCGTGTCACTCACGCGGTGCATCGTCATGCTGCGGAACATGGTTGGCGCGTCGCCGAACTCAGTACTGATGCGCTTCACGAAGGCGCGGATGCGCGCGGCTGCAAAGCGTACTTCCTGCCAGACCAGCTGCCGCGCGCGCGAGCCCATCGGGTACACGTCCTTCTCGTGGTTAGCCTCGCCGGCTTCCCAGAAAGCGCGCTGGTCCCAGAGGCCGTTCTGCCAGAGGATCAGGTCTGGTCTGTTCTTAGGCCCGCGGACCTGGTCGTACATGGGCGTCCAGTACTTGTCCCAGCGCTCCTCGAAGGCGATCTCCTCCATGTCGTCCATCCACCACCAGTCTGGGCGGTAGGTCATTGAGCCGGCAAAGTGCCAGTGGACGAACGTAAGGTTGAACTCGGGGATCTCGCAGGTGGCGATTGTATGTGCCTTGGGCTGTTTCATGCCTCGCTTAAACTCGCTGCAGAAGAATTGCATCATGAATCGATCGACCGAGTCGCTAAACAGCACGATGCGACGACCCCAGAGCCAGCCAAAGTCGCTTTCATTCTTCAGAGGAGCAAAAGCGTCAACACCTGTTTGCGCATTAGCGTTGATTGCCTTCTTTCGACGCTGACTCTCGGCGATGGCTTCAGGGAGCCATTGTCGCGGTGTAGAAGTGAGGTTAAAAAACTCGGGCTCTGGTTGCGTTGCGTTGAAGATAACCTCGCCAGCAGGCGGATAGACAGCGTAATCGGGAGCTTCAGCATCGAGCAAATCATCGGTGAAAGGAATCCATTGTGTCTTTTTGTATTCGTCGGTGCCGTTGATATCAGCGGGGATATAAAGATACCCAGGTCGACGATAGGGATCTTCACAGTTGTAGACTGATTGGTTCTGCTGTTGTCTGTTGTGCAGTTAAACATTAGCGTAAGCCAAGAAAAGATGCCAAGTTTAAGTTTAGATGGCGCGGGGTGTCCAACAGCTAATGCAGCCACTTCCAACCGAGAAAAACAGATGGAAGCTTAATAAAAGGTGGGCGATTGACTTACGAGAAGGCTTTGTCCCAATATTCTCCTGCCTTGTTGTGTGCGTAGTCCCACGGTACTTCTAGAGACTCTTGGAAAAACGTGACCATGATCAGGAAAAGAGAGACGCTGGCGGCGATGATGATGCACGTTATGACTGAGGGGCGCGACATGGTGAACATCATCGTCGAGACGATATCCAACAAGAAAAAAAGGAATGAATAGCACCCTTACAGTCAAATGCAAAATAAATAAACAACAAAAAAAAGGCGACGTAAAAAAAGATGATGAGGAAGAAACGAATTATCCGGGGTGGTACAGTATTAAACCCATCCCTTAAGCAAACGCCATGGTTTGACGATTCAATTCCCTGGCATCTCAGGGCGATCAATTGCTTGTTCTCCACTACCCCTTAATACATTGGACAAATGATTTGGCCACGAGCGACGGAGTAAAAACAGGGAAGCATAGTCGGTGGTCCCGACGCGTGGCATTTTTGTTCTCCAGCAGCGGTAGTTTTGAAAGAAACAGTCGCAACAGTGCAGCAATGATTTAAGTTTCTGACACTAACCTCTGAACCCCCGTTTCAGAACTTGGGCTAAGGCGTGTGAGACCTTGTCACATTCCTTCCGAGAGTGAAACCGGGGCTGATCGCAATGAGGCTGTTTCCACTGATTGGGATGTCACTGCGGCTATCCATAATTGACAAGGTTATCGAGAATGACGAAAGATATTTGCCTTTTGATATGATGTGAAGGAAGATTCTACCATAGTGGTTGGCTTGGCTGTTATCATATGATACCGCTACTAAATTAAGCTTACCCAGTGGCGCCTCGACCCTGCATGAAAAGAAACCAACAAGCCACACCATAAAACCATCCGTTGTCTTGGATTAAAGCCGGTAACGGTAATAGTCGAGATTTAACTTGCATCATCCGTTCATTATCTTTTTGTCGCGCATGCAGCCTCATTCTATGAATACATGTATCGCATGGCATTACATCGCACCGCACCGCAAAAAAAGACATCTGACAGGTTATTTGAAAGTCGGCAAAAAGCGACCACGCCAGGAGTCGAACCTGGAATCTCTAGAGAATGGGATGACGGTGAACCGAAATCTAGCGCCTTAGCCATTAGGCCACGCGGCCTGTCTTATTCGATGAAGACAAGGGTCAAACATTTCACTAGGAGCTGTAGCCTAGAAGCTGCTCCGTGAACGAAAATCAGTCTTAGCGACAGGTGACAAGTGAAGTTCTTGTGAGATAACTTCACATATTGCCAGTGGTATAGCAAGGACTATCAACGTTGTTTGATTCCTCATCAGCATTGGAAGTACTTCTCAACTATGCTTCCATCGAGTACCCTATACTCATTCATCAGTACTCGACGGCGGTCGGCTCGGGCGGGACATGTATCGGCTGTCTGTCTTATCAAGATGGTATCTTCTGGCTATAGCATAACGCGATTTGACGTGACGGTTACAGGATGGCTTGGCCACTATTGCGCCTTCAACATATCGTCAACCGAGTTATCGCCATGAGCGATTAACCAACGAAGCAGCACCGAGTCCAGCAGTAACAGAAATGCGGGCTCTTAGAGTCTGTGAATAAACCGCCACTTGTGTTAGTTATACTGCATTTACTCAGCAACAAGTCACCCAATCCTCCAATTTACAATTATGACCCTCACCATCCAGCCCACCCCGACTTCCGAAACCACCCAACAACAAATCGCCCAAAAACCCCGGCTCATCGCACCATCCCTTCACACAAATGGCGTCAGGAACAACATCGATGGCAAATACGCCCACAGCAGCCAATGGACTCGATTTCGCAGCACGCAATATCGAGCCTTGCCCCTTCTGGGAGAGCGGGTTGCTAGTTCTAAGTGAGGGGTTGTTGAACCAGGGGGGCGGGGTGCAGTTACGCTGTAGATGAAAATATGGTGGGGTTGTCTGTTGTCATGATGCGGGATGGTAAGTGTTTATATGGATGGTCATGTCGTGGAATTAGCTATGAGATATGCATTATATCTAGAAGTCTATAGCGGTGATGTAGATATAGATAGCCGGCACTGGAAGTAATTGGTTAATTCGCATTCATACACAATTGACTCTTCTCACGGGGCCAAAGGCTCACTTGCAACGCCAACACCAACATCCGCACCTCAAGCTTGGCCTTCCAATCACCCATATCACAGCCCTCGTGGCGTCTTCAACCACCCGTCAAAGAGCCCAGATCGTCATCCCCTAGTGCCCTCCATTTTACCAATCCGGGAGTGTCACTAGCCAAGCTGCTCCAACAAGGTTGTAAGCTCTCACTGCACTGGAGCCCCAAGTTTGAAAGCTGTGCTGGTAAGAAAGGTGGCATTTCTGTCTCAGTTGTCGTCACCTACGTATATAATCCCTCTCCCTCCCCGCCTCCCCAGCCCTTCTTTCTTCCTCCCATCTCTCATTTTACACCACCAAAAGTACTACACATCACTTCCAAAATGTCTGCTCCCGCTCCCCTCCGTCTGGGCTCTACAGCCCCCAACTTCCAGGCCGAGACCACAAAGGGCAACATCGACTTCCACGAGTTCATCGGCGACAACTGGGTCATCCTCTTCTCCCACCCCGAGGACTACACCCCCGTCTGCACCACCGAGCTCGGTGCCTTCGCCAAGCTGCAGCCCGAGTTCACCAAGCGCAACGTCAAGCTCATTGGTCTCTCCGCCAACACCATCCAGTCCCACGAGGGATGGATCAAGGACATTGGTGAGGTCACCGGTGGCAACGTCGAGTTCCCCATCATTGGTGACAAGGAGCGCAAGGTTTCTCTGCTCTACGACATGTAAGATCTCCCCTCGTCTCTGTGTTGAAAACTATACTAACAAGCTTACAGGATCGACCAGCAGGATGCCACCAACGTTGATGAGAAGGGCATCGCCTTCACCATCCGCTCCGTCTTCATCATCGATCCCAAGAAGACCATCCGCACCATCTTCTCCTACCCAGCCTCCACCGGCCGCAACGCCGCTGAGGTCCTGCGCGTCATCGACTCCCTGCAGACCGGCGACAAGTACCGCATCACCACACCCATCAACTGGGTCCCTGGTGAGGACGTCATCGTCCACCCCTCCGTCAAGAACGAGGAGGCCAAGACCCTCTTCCCCGAGTTCCGCATTGTCAAGCCTTACCTCCGATTCACCCCTCTCGCCAAGGAGAAGGTTCTCCCCCAGTAAACGGGACAAATATAATTAAAATAAAGGAAAGAACGAAGCTACGGAGTTATTATGATACCTTTGCAGATGCAGCGCAAAAAGGAGGGTCCAGTTTTTGGGAGCCGGGGCTTAGTACATGTGAGAAAAACGTCAACGAATGTTTTTGTCATGATGGAACGACCAGCTGTCCCTAATAGATTAGTCTAGACTTGAGCCATTTGCGATAGCTCTGAGATGAAGAATAAATAAACAAATGAACAAACATGGCCCGCCGCTTACTATGAGAATTTGTCAACAATCTGCTCCAAATCCCTTTACTTTCTTCACAAGCTCATTAGTTGCGACATGAGGTTAATTTGGGAATGCGGGGTTCTGGGCCGTGAATCGCCGATGCCGGACCCAAGCTTCTATCAGGGTCCACATGAGCTTTTGGTCAAACATCACCAGCCTCAACAAGAGGCCATAGCAGGATCTTGAAGAATCATTTCACAAGAGTTCTCAGATGTATTTATAGTTCATTAATATATAATGCCGTGCACGTACTGCAACCAGTCATGCCCACTAATTCAGCATCCGGGAAAACATACAAAGAGCCTTGACACGTCCTACCATCTCTTTCCACAGCCCATAGGATCACTTCTTATTTCTTGATATACTCAATCTTCCTCGCCAGCCAACACCCAACCGTAACGCCAGCAATAGCACCCTTCTCATCCCGATGAAACACAAGCGTCCAGTCACCAGGCGGCTTCGCATCCATACCTCTCGGGTTCGCGAGAGCCCACACATCCTGTCCGAGATATCTCATGAACTGCGCTGGACTCTGGCCTAGAAAGCCGTCGAATGTACCGAACATGAGGCCGCCTTGATCAACGCAGTGGAACGTGGAGTCGATCTCTGGAGAGTAGAAGTCACCAACGAACACGGAGTTATCGACGGGAGTGGTACTCGGTTGGAGGCGTCGGGCAGTGATGGTTCTGTTTTCCTTCAGACGTTGGATTTGAAGGGTGTCGCCGTTGATCACAGCCGCCATTCCGCGGGATTCACCTCGTTCGGGATCTGTCAGTTTGACGGGCTCGACATAGTTCGCGTACGTGACGAGGATTTGACCCTTGGTGCCAAGCGCTACAGTAATAGCAAGTTGGGTGCCCTCGTCGAGATACACGCCTGGCCACGCAGGTGATGCATCGACCAGTGTAGGTGGAGGAGGCTTCTGGAGACCTAGGATATTCGTGACGATGTACTCTGCAACTGTTCCAGCGTCGGCTTCGTGATTGAACATGACTACCACTGACAGACGTTCCTCAGGTACTTGCGCCCTAAAGAGGCGGAAACCACGCAAAGCGCCGCCGTGACCAATAGCCGCTGCACTTCCATATTCAACATGAGCCAGACCTTGGGAGTATGGCGAAGGAATACCATCGCTGAAAGCGGTAGGTTGGAATATGGTGCGGTACCAGCTTGTAGGGTCGAATAGGCTGCGATCCAGGAACGACTCGTAGGCAATCATGTCAGCGAGAGATGCAATTATGCCAGCATCGCCGGCCCATTCGATGCGGTTCTCGGCGGGGATGTAGCCTCGCTGCTCATCACCCTCGTAGCCAACGATTGGCGCAGGAACCTTTGCTGAGTCTGGGCATAGTTCTGCAGTCTTCATACCAGCAGGTGTAAAGATGCGCTCTTTGAGCAAAGAAGCAAGCGACTCTCCAGTTGTGGCCTCGACAACACGTCCCACGATATTGTAGTTGGTGTTACAGTAAGAGTACTCTGTTCCGGGAGTGAAGTGAGTTGACTTGATCGTCTCCATCATCGGTCCATTATGCTCAGCAATCGAATAAGGATCCTCAGGCTTCGCACCCCAAAGCAGAGTAATAGCCCAATAGTCTCGAATTCCTGATCTGTTGTTGCACAGATCCTCCAGGGCCAAGTTATTGTTCTTGGCGAGTTCAGGAAGAAGCTCCTTGAGCTTAGCCTCAAACTGTTCGCGCACATCGCCCTTGGCAGCCAAAGCCGGCGTAGGGTTGCGCTCAAGATCCACGACAAGTGCACATAGCATTTGCTTGGATATTGAGCAAATGGGAATAAGCGTCTCTGCGGTCATGGGGATCCTGAGGTTGAAGTCGGCGTATCCCCAGACGCGATGGTCCACGAGGGCTCCATCCGATAGAACGGCGATGGCGCCGCCTGGACCGCGGATGCGGGAGGGGATTGTCTTCAAAACATCCTGGACTATTTGCTTTGACACTGGCATCTCTTATCTTGTCTCTGATCTTTTGTTTCTCTTCGCTTGTATGTGTTTTTGCTTTGCGAGCCGATGAGATTGATGCGGGGTTGTCAAGTCTCATGTCGTAATTGGCAGGTGGGACAACGATTAGGAATGGGCACCTTGAGAAGGCACTCAAATTAACATCAGCAAACCCTGCCATTCTTGGATGAATATGAACAACCCAACTGGGTTGCTATTTAACGCCTCAACGTGAAATACTGCTTTCAAAGGTTGCACTTTGACAACTTGCCAGCCAACATCAGCCAGCCGTCTAGAAATGATCATAATATTTAAATAGAGAACGTTACAAAACCACGTATCAACTGGTGTGTTTTTAAACAATTTTGATTTGAATAAACACATCTTAGATGTGGCGGTAGAATATGCTATGTGCTATGTGATGTGATATGTCCATCAATGCTTCATGTACACCCCAACTCAATGTCCTCCTCTTCTACACACCGTGACTGGTTTCATTACACGTCACAATATTTTAGTTAAATCCATCCCAAATATGCTCCTTTAGCTCATCGTGCTGGTCAACTCATGACCCTGCTATCCCCAGACCAACACGTTGGCCTTGGCCCCCAGAGTAGCTCGCGCTCATGCCATTCCCGCTGCTACCACCACCGCCGCCGCCGCCGCCGCCGCCGCCACCGCCGGTGGCTGTACCTGTACGCT